ACTCTGTGTGCAGAAAACGCTTGTCCCTGTGACTTTGCCGCTGTCGGCGTTTCAAAACCAACCGTCTAAACGAGGCTTAGATACCTAGACATGCAACTCTGTGGCCAGTTCGTACACTACGACACAACCCTGAAGCTGCGGGTAAGCATGCAACAACAGATACACGAAAAGGTCTTTCCATATATGTGTCGTCCTTTCCTCATCCGTAGTCTGCGGAGTTTTGTCGTAGAGTTTCATCGCTACCAGCTTGTTTGCACCCTTAAGTTCTGTTCATCGGTTTGTACACTTGTACAGACTGCATCCACAGCAGCCAAAAAAAACATATATGACTGAGGCATCAGGTTAACCGTGGCTCCTAGATGCTTCACAAGGCTACCCTTTGCGTTAGTTCTCACGCTGTGTGCGAAGAACGCTTATCCAGATGACTTTGCCGCTGTTGTTTCGGTTGCTGTGAACACAACCAACACAATTGAGTGATAGAGCCTTGTGGTATGTGTAATTAAATATGTTTCAACTTCATTCTAGGTCGCACTTTGCGAGGCCGAGGACCTCTGTGATCGGGACGACAAGGAGGAACATTCAGCGGAAGTTTCAAGTGCTGCTCTGCCACCTGCAGGCTCGTTGGAGAGGCCTACCCCACCTGTAATAGTCCTCGACCAAGGTGTGCAGGTGTCGAGTGGTGACTTTGGGGAAAACTTTTCCCGCATGGTCAATCAGGGTAACGTATGTTTCTTTACGGGCATCCCCAACATAGAGCTTCTCAATGTTCTAGAGAAACTCGTGTCTGGAAAGACACCCAAATCAGCAAGAGCTGCACTGCCAGCAAGAGATAGAGTAATCATGACCATGATGGCACTGAAGCACGCTCTGACATTTGATTTCTTGTCAAATATCTTTGGAGTGTCACCATCAACCGCAAGTGCCACTGTTAGAAACACAGCACAGCTCCTTGCTGTGTTTCTGAGAAATGCAATAACCTGGCCCTCCAAGGATGAAGTGCTGCATAACATGTCGGTGTGCTTCCAGAAATACTCTCATGTTCGCATCGTACTTGACTGCACAAAGATTCCTGTAGGCACACCTAAGTGCCTTAAGTGTCGTATAAGCACATACTCTCATTACAAAAAAGGGCACACAATCAAGTATATGGTAGGCGTTTCACCCGCTGGTTTGATTACCTACATTAGCAGCGGCTATGGAGGTCGTGCCTCGGACAAGGCTATGTTTGACCAGAGTGGTCTGGTAGATAAGCTGTTGCCGGGGATAGACCATATAATGGTGGACAAGGAGTTCCTGATCGACAGCACATGCGAAACAAGGCTGATAGCTGTGGTGAGGCCCCCATTCCTACATGCTAAGAAGCAGCTCTCGAAGGCCGAAGCTCTTGCCACGAAGAGCATAGCTGCGGCACGAGTTCACGTGGAAAGAGTTATCCAGAGGATGAAGCTCTTTAAGATTACACCCCAAAGGATGCCCTGGCACATGGTGCCAATAGCGGATGATGTGCTCACCATTGCATGCGGCTTGGTGAACTTATCTCCACCAGTTCTAGCAGATAACAGGTTCTTCTAAGCCTTCTGTAGAAGCAAAGTTTGGTTGATACCGTGCTAGACAAAGCCGCAGAAGCGTGCGGCATTGGACTACCGTAGAGTACCGCGGATCCGCCCATTACCAAATTTGTAAGATCTGAGAAAATATGCATGGTACATTTATGTGTAAAATTCATGACCGGACAAGCGCCCATCCCCCATTTTTTCGCGATTATCTCCAAAATTTGAGTAAGCGCTCGCCCGGTATTTTACAGTATGTACACGTGTTATGCCAGGGGCGAGAGAAACTGCTGCTGCCGAGTACCGGCCAATGGAGACATTTGCGGCTATCAACATCCATTTATCTGACACGCTCTGTTGCCATACTGGCAGTCATTCACCCCGGGTGGTGCTCTCTACACCGACATTGCTCATTCCTTCAGATGTTCTAAAGAACTCTACGAAAATTTTCATCTCGACAGTTCTGCTTTCAACTTAATGTCATTGTAAGGATTTGTAGCAAATCAGCTGATTGTGCATCCTTGTAATCGTTTCGAAAGCTGCAATTCCAAAGATATATGATCGGTTTACTCGATGCAGATAATTGAAATCACATTAAACCAAATAATCACGACTATCAGCAGCGCTGCTAAGCTGCAAGGTTTCACAGGTGTCAGCATAGATCTATCACTTGAGGCGGATGACAATCAGTACAGTAGCAGAGCAGGTTAGAAACCGGGTGTCAATAACCAACCGCTAATCGTGCAACCATCTGCCAACCTCCAATAATAGCCTCTTCACTGCTGGCGCAACGTACACGAATGGTCCGAGGCCACACGCTCCTGCAGCCTCGGCGACTTTGGCTGCGGCCGGGCTGGATACAGGTCTTTTCTTTACGGCCTCTTGAGCAAACCACGGATGAGGCAAGGTGAAGGTACTACTGTATGGCCGGTAGCCGCAGGCATAGGCGGTAGCACAAGTAGACCAATTGTGCACACTCGGGGACAGCTTTCCTTGGCATGCAGTCAAAGCTACGGGAGGGCACCGATCAGTGCTCCTAGCTCGCACCAGGGTGGAACTGCGGCAAGGTGGGGTCGCGGCGCTTTGCGCATCCACAGGCATGATTTCTCCAGCTCTGGCGAGTATCCACAAGTATCCAAAAATCCAGCCCGGCCATGGTCCAGCACCGTTCCCTTCTTTTGTGTTAGCACGTGCCCCCATGTCGGTTTCTGCAGGTGTTCTTTAATGTTTTATATTTTAACACATCCTTTTTTGTATCTACTGCAGTGTTTGTATGTGTGCTTGCTAATGTTTGTATGTTTGGGAATATTGCAAGTGACATACCTTGTTTTCACTATCTTGTTTCTGTGCTAATGTATGCTATCCTGAGGCTGTCATAAGACACATCTGTTTGAATGTTCCACATTTCAACTCGTTCAGTTCGTCACCTGTGTGTGCATGTTTGTGTGTGTGTCAATCTCGCCACTTTGATGTTATCACCAGAGCACCTGGGGTATCTTGTTTTGTGCTAATGTATGCCATCCTGAGGCTGTCCTTGCATGAAGCTTCGTAAGGGACATCTACTTGAGTGTTCCACATTTCAACTCATTCTGTCTGTTCTGTTGGTCGCCTGTGGGTGCATGCTCGTATGCATTTGTCAGTATCGTCTCTGCGATGTCATCATCACTGATACATTTTCGGGTACCTTGTTTTTGTGCTAGTGCGTGCCAGCCTGAGGCTGTTCTTGCCAAATGAAGCTTAATGCATATTCCTTGATACCTGTCTGCTTCTGTCTCACATTTCTTTGTGTGGGCCAACCATGTGTGCATGTTTGTTTCTCTGTCATATATATTACATGATTTGTGAGGGTGCCTCCTGGATGCCCCAGGAAAGCAGCTGCCAACATGTCGCTTGGAGACAGCTTCTCAGGGCCTGAAATTAAATCCCTAAGCGAAACAGCAGCAGCCCTGAAGCTTCTAGAAGGCTCTTTTTTAAGCTCTTGCAACCACCTTCATTTTTTTATTTCATTCATTCATTTATTATTCCTTCAGGGCCTGTTAGGGCATTATACAAGGGGGTCAATAACACTAATAATCATTGTTTAAAATAAATTAACACTCACGGAGAGGAAGACAGCAATACAGGTGAATCAAAGAACAACAGAATGCAAGTAGTTATGAACATTACACAATATTATTATTTTTTACGGTATGCACTGTGAACAATAAAAAGGAAGAAAAAAATTAGCAGATAGACATATTATTAAGTTCAAGGTAATTGATTAGTTCTTCGGCAAATCTATCAAGGTTGGTCTCGGTTACAACGCTATCAGGTAATTTATTCCAGTCCTTGATTGTCATGGGCAGATAGGAATTGTAAAATGCTACAGTTGAACTAAAAATCGGACGAACTTTTCGGGAGTTATCATGGCGGAGAGATATGCTGTGGGGTGGAAGGAAGAGGGATGCTCTAATAGAAGCATTGTTATAGTATAATTTATGATACAGGGTTAATCGAGAAAGAGTGCGCCTTAGCTTTGCTCCTTGGGCCTGTTATGCTAGTGAAACGAGTATTAATACTTGCATGCCCTTCAGTATGGTAGTGCCCAACGTGATGGGAAAGATATCAGCGAGGGGGGCAGCCACCAGTGTTTTAGAACAGAACTGTAGCATGTGTTCTTTGGAGTCTTAGAGGATGGTGGTGCAGGAGAAAAAAAGGGCCTCTGAGTAAAACTTCGGCTGACTTTAGATCTTTACACAGATTTATTCTGGATGAAAATATTGCACACTTCCCTAGAAGATTCACATTAATTTTATTGCATATATGGAAGTCAATTGGCAGTTTATTAGTAAAAGAAAATTTTTGCATAAGAAATATCACAAGCACAAAACGCCTGCTCCACGAAGATGTCCGTCACAATGGCACTTCTCAGCCTGACATGCCATACTCTTTCCTCTACGAGTGTCGGAAACTAGCACCGTTTGCGGCATGCCAACCAACCGCCCATAGACTGGCATGGCATGCTACATGCAGAGCTACTGACCGACAATCTGGAGAGAAGGGGCAAGTTAGTGAGAGGTGCCAATCTGACAGGCATCTCTTCCTAAAGGAAAGCGCTGGCTGGGGTTCTTGCCACATTCAAGGGTCCCTGTGAAGCCGTGCGTCTAGAGGCACTAGGCAGGTTTTTGAAATTCTTTTTATGGCCATGGCTTTTTATGGCTTCTTATCCCCCAGAGGCCTAAGCGCCATCCTCGTCAATAAATGCTTCATCTATTCATCCATGGCCGTAGCTGAACCCGTGCACTCTAAGCATTCTAATACTATCCAGAAACTATGGCCATGAAGGGCCTATATCCTCACTAAAATGTGATCAAAAGTAGAGAATGCCCCGAGATTCTTTTTATTGATTATAAATAAATAAATGAGTTTTGAAGTCATAATACCTGGACATCACGTTTGATCTGTGGATTTCTAACATGAACACAGAACTGGAAGTATGCGTTCGAAGTACACATTCTTCACTTTGGTGAGCAGAAACCACAGGAAAGCTTCATCAAGACTTACACTTAAAACTTTTATGCTGCTATCAAAGTCCGCATAAACAACAAGGTCGCATGTCCTCACATCTAAAAGCGCCATTCCCAGCTGCACCTGGGCATAGTGGGTATGACGCACCTTCAGCGTGTAAATATCTGCATCATCTTTCTCGAGAAAGTCACAGGTTGCAAGGAGAGCTTCTGCGCTCATGGTCTGCCCCTTGGTAGGGCACTTGATCTCCAGCAACTTTGCTGGCCTTCCACCATCAAAGAGCACACCATCAGGAGAGCAGCCAAGCCAGGGGTTGCTTGGCGATACAATTAGGCCACAAGTGAACACTTGTACTTGTCTTGTAGCTTCATACTTCTGGCGTGCCTTGGGCTCTGACCGTTTACCGTACGCCGTCGCAGCGTTGCCGCGGAACGATGGCTGCATTGTCGACCGCACCTTCTTGTCCCAGTCGCCCTGCTTGTATGTGTACAATGGATAGCACGTTGTTCCTGCAATAAAGTGCAGCCAACAGCAAATGTTTTCATTGTAAAAACCACAGTGCATACAAAAAAAGAAAAATATGCCTTTCTTGCAGTTAGATAACAACCGGCACCAGTCAAGAACACTGGGCAGGCGTATGAGCTCATCATTCATGATTCGTGGCAGACCATACCAAATAAGAAATATGTCCCTTAAATGAAATTACTGGCATGCTGGTAGTCATCAAGGAACGAAGTAGTGGAGAACTCTTAAAACATGGGATGGCACAGCACATCTTTCAAGTAGCAACAAATATTCCCAAAATTCAATGTTTCCTTCTCTTTGGAAAAGGTGCTTGTGCCTCCCTTGTTCTATATGTTAAATCTTCGCTCCCTGGATATACTTCCATTCAGTTTATTTGATAACTCGACAAAATATTTCAACGGAATTGTTTTTGTTGGGAACAAACTAACTGAACACACTTCTATTCTGGCTTGATTTCGCATAAAATAAGAACAGTAATGACACTAGGGGAAAACATGCAATAAAGAAACCTAGAGGGAAGGTTCTGCATCTGTTCCCATTTTATGGTCCAGAGGTCTCGAAATGTTGATATGTTATTCGTCCAAGTTCCCTTTGAATTTGTGTTCCGAGCGAGATAATTATGTTCCCTAATAATAAAACTTGGAGAAAGTCTAGAACGCAAATGTGCAACTCAGGTGTTTATGCTTTTCTATTTCAGTATTCCCGATTGTGAGGTTCCCATTTGTCATGGACAAATTTCAGGAGCCGAAATGACGGTTTGAACCAAAGTACGAGCTCTGGCATATCTCCATAGATTTTTATAACCATGCTCACTGGCCACAGCTATATCACCATTAAAGCTGTGTCACATTCAGCACCTTCATGTGTATGAGGTTGCATCAGGATTGTGACTTGAAGCCATTTTGCGATTCTACCGGAAAGTCAATATTGGAAGTGTTCTTTTTTTATCAAACTGCAGAGTGTTGATAAAAGACACAACCTTAAAGTTGCACCAAAGACGTTTCTGAGATTGTCTGTTCTTGGTGGTAACTCATTCAACAGGCTGTAAGCATCCTAAATATCCAAAAATTATGCTTGTGCAATACTCATTCTACTAGTAAAACTGTGATTTACAATCGGGATGCGCCCTTTTTTGAGCCGGACTTTCCGCACAAAAAGGGCGGAGCATAATCCAGCCGAGCGGGCGGTGGGATGACGACACTGCTTGTCAGCGAACCTTAAGCTGCCATTCCGATAGCAGACGACGCCACGCCGTCTGCTATGGGAGCGACAGCTTAGGTTGACTGACGAGCAGTGTCGCCACGCCGCCATCCGCTCGGCTGGATTATGCCCCGCTCTTTTTGTGCGGAAAGTCCGGTGCAAAAAGGGGCGCATCCCGATTGCAAATCACATTTTTAGTAGGGAAACGCGCGTTCCACGAGCATAATTTTTTGATATTTAGGATGCACAGAGCCCATGGAATGAGTTACCATTAAGGACAGATGATCTCAGAACCGTCTTTGGTGCACCCTTAAGGCACACACTAAGGCGAGCAATATGCGAAACACCGCTTTTGATTAATGTTAAATCAAAACCAATGACACATATTTTCAAAACATTTTCAATGCTCACTAATACAGTTTAGCAAGCCTCTGGACATCTCGGAAACATTTAACATCTGTCTTGTAGTGTGAATAAAGATTTGCTCTGCACACACGCCACTTGCCTGTAATCCGGCAGCGGCGTTGCATCATCCAGGCTGCCTTGTTGTCTTTCGTGTCACGCAGCAAGGTGGCAGCTGTTTCCATAGAAACAACTACTTCCTTGTTGTATAAGTTGGCACAGCCTTCTGGAGGAGAGGCAGGGATTGCAGCAAGCCTCTTCAGGAGAACACTGCCCTCGCAGCTTTCTACAACCTGGCAGAACCTCTCGTCCAACCTTGTGGGCTCCGGGACACTGGAATAGCACACACACACAAACAATACTATGCCTGCGGCCCAAATCAAACTGATGCTCACCAATTATACCTAGGGTGACCACCCGTCCCGTGACTCGCGGGACTGTCCCGCATCGAGGGCTCGTGTCGGACGTCCCGCGAGAAATTCCCGAATCTTCAAAATGTCCCGCATTTCACACTGTTGTAAAATTCACTCTGCAACTCATGGTGCTGCCGAACAACGTGGCACGGAAAAGCGCTGAGGTCGCTGGTAATCGTGCGAATCGCAATGGTACACCATTTTCTACACAAGAATTGCAGGAAGCAACCGTCCTTCTTCCAGCAGATCCGACGCACATGCGCCGTTGTGCCTCTCCCTTTGGTAGTAAAATATTGTAAGAAAAAATTGTTCGTCAAAAAGTTTAGATACAAATTATTGTAATTATTTTCAAATCGCTGCTTCAATTTGAGAGGGTTGCTGTGGCATCTTTTTTTTTCTTCAGTGAAGCCAGTCACACAAAGCAAAAAGCGTGCAACTCACAAAGGTTGAAAAAAAAATAATCTTAAAAATTTATGTAGGGCCATGTTGATAAAAGTAAGCGTTGACAGGGAACAATAACTCGAAAAAGATTTACGGTTTCTTATTTTCATTTGATGCATTGAGTTCTGCAGCAACAGATTTTTATGTTTTCAGCTTCGACACATTTAATAACATATTTAGCATTAAAAAATGTCACTGGGAGTGAAAATTATTTTAACTTAATTGCTGCTATACAATTTGTAGGTGTATAAACAGCACAGGATATTCAATCTGTTAACAGCCTCGGTTCATGGTGTGCGTGTTGATAAACTTCCTCTAACCCCCGCCCTGCCCTGCGTGTCCCGCATTTCGCTAGCAGGAAGGTGGTCACCCTAATTATACCACATACTTCCTTTTTTTTTCATTTACTATGCAAGACAAAGATCATATGGAGATCAAATGCTACTAATAAGTGCATGCTTGCCCTATGTGGCCCTCATACTGTTTTGTTTTGTCTACACAATGCTTGAGAGTAAAACACCAACCATTGCACACGATCCAACGTACTAACTTATTATTGAATCGTGTATTGCCTATTTAATGGTCTTGCCAAGTTCGAATTACGCCTTGGGGCCATATAAGCATGTCCCTGGCTCACCTGCATGACTGTTCTGCCCGCCGCCGCCTCCTAAAAAAGAAAGTAAAAATCCATAAACAAAAATTAACCTATGTCTTTGTACAGATGATACTTTGAAGCCATTCGAGTAGAATTCTCATAAGCAAAGTTGAATTACATTTCTCAAACAAAATGCTCCCATGTATCGAGAAAGAATTTAATGAGCCGAGAGAACTCTGGGCTGGTTGTGTGTCAAAGGCTTTTTGAAAGGATAGGCGGCCAACATACAGCCAAAGCAGACAGCTGTGCACCGACTAATAAAATAAACATTCGATGTGGCTGCAGTCACTAGTTATAATTCCAATCATTGTTGCCCCATTATCCTAATCTTTATTGGTGGCATAGTGCCACAAATAAAGATTAGGACTAATGGGACGACACCACGGCGATGAAAAACTGATTGTGCGGTGCCACTGACACCGCACAATCAGTGTCGCCCCATTTCTTTTGATTAATTGCTTATTAGGCTTTTGTTATGTCGGAACAGCCATAGTTGGCTTACTGATGTTTAATATATACAAGAAAAAGGAGCAAGACCGGCCCTATGGCCGTTACAGTTGGGAGCCAGGGATCGAATGCCTCAGTCCGGGGGGCCACACTCGGAAAGCGCGCGCCCTTCTTCGTCCTGCTGCTGATGATAGCTGTTTGCAGAAGAACTGCGAACATGTTAATTCTTCCCCCCTACGATAAAGTCCTTAAAACGGTCTGGAAGGCGTCTGGCCCGTGGAGACCGCAGTTGACTTCCGGACACTTGGGATGTTTTGGTTGCTGGCAGTTGTTGGGGAGCATTTGGCTCACCCAGGTCATCTGTCACACTCCACTCTGCCGGTTGCGTCGAGGTCTCTTCTGCTTGTGTCGTTTTCCGAATATGGTCCAAGTGGCGACGTACCTTGCCACCGGCGCATTCAATGAGCCAAGAACGTGGACCTGCCCATCGCAAGATCTTGCCTCGAACCCCGTCTGGCTTAGTTGGGAACCGGCGAACCAGTACTCTCTCCCCTCTGGCGAAGCGGCGAGCTGGACCCAGTGGATCTTGACTTTCCTTGGCCTCCGCTGCTGTCTTCGGCTGAAGTAGGTCAAGGGGGCAGGGTAGCTCTTTGCCAAACATCGCTTTCGCTGGTGTCACTCCCGTAGCACTGCGGGCCGTGGAGTGCTGTCGAAAGAGGAAGCGAGCAAGTATGCTTCCGCTTGTATCTTTTAGAAGTGCCCTCTTGAGTTCAGCGACATATCGTTCTGCCTGTCCATTAGTTGCAGGGTGATATGCTGCAGCAGTTACGGCTTGCACACCGTTTGAAGCGTAGAACTTCCTAATCTTGTTGGAGACGAATGCGCTTCCATTGTCGGAGACAACTTTCCGCGGAATACCAAACGTACCAAAAAGGTTCCGTAGCGCATTAATAACAGCAACCGATGTTGCTCGAGGCATGTGACGTACCTCCACTCACTTTGTGCTCGCGTCAACTACAACAAGGTAGGTCTGTCCGTGCACTGGCCCTGCGAAATCTAGATGAAGCGTGTACTAGGGTGTCTCTGAACGTTCATAGACAGGGATCGGAGCCTTTGGTGGGTTCTTCTGTGTCGTTTGGCATACACGGCAGTTCTGTACCGTCCCCTCAATCTCGCTGTCAAGCCCCGGCCACCAGACGTAGCTCCGTGCACACTTCTTCATTGCCACCATGCCCCTGTGACCTGCGTGCTTAAGCGCTAGGACATGAGGACGTGCTGTCGTGGGGATGATGATCCGAGAGCCCCAGGTAAGGCACTCTTGGAGAAGTGCCAGTGCTGCAGCTCTCTGCTTGTATGGCGTGAACCTGTCACCTTTGAGTCTGTCCACTGTGCCGTTCGGTATGGCAGTGTACAGTTCACACAAAGTGCTGTCGTGCTGCATCAGACAAGCTATCTCCGTGGCTGTGAATGGTTGTGTTGATAAGGCTTCAAACATTAGTATGTCACCAGGTGGTTATGGCTCATCCTCACTGTCTGGTAGTGGCAGACGGCTGAATGCATCAGTGTTTTGGTGGTTCTTGCCCTGCCGGTAGACAATGTCGTAGTCATATTGTTACGTTGATAATGAAAATGATTTACTATACAGTGAAGAGAATTAGAAACACAGATATGGTGGTTAGTCCTTCAGAGCGTGCACCGCCGGCATCGTCCTCTTTTTTCCACCGTCGGCGTCGTCTTGCCGCATCTTCTTCTTCGTCACATTATCCCCCTCCGGTCGAAAACGGCGTCTCGCCGTTAGCTGGAACTATGTATGGTTTGAGTCGCACAACGTGGACGGTGTCGGCTTGAGTGCGGCGTGTATCGTGAGAGAGTTGTAATGGTTCCACCACATAGGTGACGTCACTCGCTCGTGCGACGACACGATAGGGGCCGGTGTAGCGCGGAAACATTTTCTGAGCGAGACCAACACGTCGTTGAGGCGTCCATACCAGAACAAGGTCGCCCGGCAAATAGGAAACTGCACTATGTAGGTGGTTGTAGCGGGCGCACTGTCGTTCCTGCGAATCAAGTGTTCGGAGCCGTGCTAGTTGGCGTGCCTCTTCGGCGCGGCATATGGCTTCGGAGGTGTGATCTGTAAGTGAGGCGTTGGTTTGCAGTGGAAGAAGGGTGTCAATCATAAGGTTGGGCTCGCGATAGAACAGTAGGTAAAATGGCGAAAAACCGGTTGTGTCGTGACGGGAGGAGTTGTACGCAAATGTAACATACGGTAGAACTGTGTCCCAGTTGCGATGGTCAGCCGAGATATACATCGACAGCATATCAGAAAGTGTCCGGTTGAGGCGTTCCACCAGCCCGTTGGTCTGTGGGTGGTAGGCCGTCGTTTTTCGGTGGACGATGGCACATAGCTGCAGAATTTCGGCGACGAGTTGTGACACAAAAGGGCGCCAACGGTCGGACAGAAGTTCTCGAGGTGCGCCGTGCTTGAGAATTACGTCTTCTAAAATAAATTGCGCAACGTCCACTGCCGTACTAGTCAAAAGCGGCCTTGTTATGGCGTAGCGTGTTGCGTAATCAACGGCCACGGCGATCCAGCGGTTTCCAGTGGAGGAGGACGGAAACGGACCAAGGAGGTCCACTCCGACGCGGTCAAATGGGCAGACCGTGGGACGCAGGGGCTGCAGGAGACCAGCGGGCCGGGATTGTGGGGTCTTGCGGCGCTGGCAGGAATCGCAGGATGAAACGTAACGCTTAATGCTCCTGTACATATCGGGCCAGTAGAAGCGATGCTTGACCCTTGCGTAGGTGCGAACGACACCCAAATGACCGGCGGTTGGGGCATCGTGCAAGTCGTCTAGGACTGTATGTTGAAGGTGTTTGGGAATTACCAAAAGTAAAGACGGTCCATGTTGCCGAAAATTATGTCGGTAAAGAATGCCATTCTGAACCGTGTAAAGCCTAGAGGAGGGTTGAGTGGAATCTGAAGTGACATTGTCAATGATGGTCTGTAGAGCTGTGTCACGACGCTGCTCTTCTGCGATGTTCATAAAAGTTGAAATATGAAGTACGGGGAGGTCGGTGTCGTCGGCTGTTTGGTCAATGGGGTCGACAGGGTGTCGAGACAAGCAGTCGGCATCTAGGTGGAGTCGTCCAGATTTGTATATGACTTTAAAATCGC